ACTCAAAACCCAGCTTCACAAAAATGATATCACAAGTTAATTTTTGTGTGACCTAATGTTGAAATTGAACAGCCTCCTGCCTGTAGTCATTCCCAAGGGTCTAATACATGTTGAGTACCATGGTCTCCTGCAAAAAAACTCGATATATCCCGCAGCACCTCTGTGAGTTCCCTGTGGCACCCCAGGGTACCTTAGCACACAGTTTGGGAAACAAAAGTGCAGCAGTGATGAGTGTGGGTGCTGGAGTTAGACTGTCCTGGAGACAGTATACTGCGATTTCATGATGCGTTAGTGGTGGACTCACGTCCCATTTCTTTATTTACAAAACCAATATTTACTGAGCACCCACTAATTTCACTAGGTATTTTGGTGCTGAAGGTACAAAGCTAAGGCAAGTAGACGTTAACACCTGCCCTCAGGGAGCTTGAGAAGCCTGGAAAAGGCAGACAATCCAATAGCCACAGGAAAATGTCATTCTGGCTGGCGGTTTCTTAGTAAAAAGAGCAGGGCGGGGAGCCCTTGCACATCGGGCATCTTAGAGAAACAAAGAAGGTCAAACTGTGTCTCCTTATTAGTTGTTATGACAACAAAGAAACTATTGCCAAGGCACTGAAAATGCCATGTGGGAGCCCACGTCCAGGGCCACAGTCACAACACATCTCCCCTTTCTGTGTGTAGCCCACACATAGGATCACACTTGTACCTGTGTGCCCGAGATCCCACGTCTCCTGGCATCCCAGCTCCTCCTGCTGACTTCCTGGAGGGGCCTTGGGGAAGAACACCTTGCTGAGTTTCTCTAGGGGCCAAATAGCACCTGGTGGGAACTCTCCACTTCTATTTCCTCAAGGTCTAAGGCAGGATTTTTATACCACCCACCCTGGAATTCCCCAGAGATGCTGATATGAAAAGGTAGAACCATGGGCCCCACCCCAGATCTACTGAATGAGCATCTTTTGCCAGCATTTGACAACTACAAACTCAGAGTAGAATGTGGGTGGGACCATCTTAATCCAGCACAGCTGTAGGCAAATGAGTAGCACAAGGTCCAGCCTTGGCTGAATCGAATTATCACAGATTGAGCCAATGAGCTTCCTCTGACATCAGCCAACTGTTGACTTTCATCAGAAGATGGGCAGCCTTACCTCCAATATTTAACCGAAATAATTTAAACCTTAATATGAATGGAAAGTATGGAGTTGGCTGTGTTAATGGGAATCTGAGAATGGATATATTTTTTCTGGGACTGAGGGGAAGGTTTTGTTAGCATAGTTGACCCTTGAACAACACAGGGGTAAGGGTCACTGACTTCTGCTCCGTTGAAAATCTGAGGATAACTCGATTCCCTCAAAACTTAACTACCAACGGCCTACTATTGACTAGATGTCTTACCATTAACAGTTGATAAATACATATTTTGCATGTTGCACATATTACCTATTATATTCTGCTAATAAAGTACGCTGGAGAAAAGAAAATGTTAAGAGTATGAGAAAATATATTTACAGTACTGTACCTATTGCAAAAAAATCCACATATAGGTGAGCCCACACATTTCAAACCTGTGTTGTTCAACAGTCCGCAGTAGTTTGTATAGTATTCCCCGTCTCCAAAGTCAAGATTGTCCCCAGATGGAATTATAAAATGTCACTTTATGTAAATTTACATTCTCTCTACCTTTGTTCTGTTTTCTGAGCTATAGGCTGAAATACTCTGAGCCCATGGGCCAGGCACTGTGAAGCCAGGTACACTGCTATGGCTTCATTCACACCATTCCCGGCAACTCCAACACACAGCCTGGCACACTCAGGGATGATCCTGAATAAGCACTTGGTATTTACCAATGAATGAATTTCAGAAACCCCAATAGTCTTACCCTGGAAGGCATTTTAATAACTACTACATTATTGTGCCTTAAAATGAGTAAAAGATCTTTATAGCATTGGTCCTGCATGCAAAGGGGACACACAGAACATACATTTTACTCCCCAATCCCCCCCACACCTCCCACCAAAAAAAAAAAAAAAAAAAATACTGCTTTTCTCAGTATATAATTGAAGCCGAAACAATTCTGCAGCTTAACCTCCAGAGCCAGTTCATTTCCAATGTTGGCACGAGCGCTTTAGAATATAGTTTGAATCATGTACAAATCCACCATGGCTTTGAAACGCTCCCCCTTGTCTTACACTTAGGTGGTCACCACCTGGGTTAGAGATTAGAAAAATGAAAATAGAAATCACTTCAAATCCCTATTCCCTTTACTTAAGGCCCAAGATTAAAGTGTTTAAATTTCTCATGGTTTCTATCTCAAACCAGAAACTAATAAAAGGGAGTACTTGAGGTTCTTATGATTTAGGGTAGGGGTTGGCAACTATAGCGTGGGTGACTTCAGCCTGCCACAGGTGTTCGTAAATAAAGTTTTACTGGCACACAGCCACACCTATCTGCTTATGTCCTGTCGATGGTTGCTTTTGTGATGCAGCAGAAACAGAGACCGTATACCTCAAATATTTATATTCTTGTCTTTTAAGAAAAGTATGCTGGCCCCTAAGGCAGCACCTGTTAGGGCCTTATACAGGAGGCTCAGAAATCAGATTGCCTGGGTTCAAATGTGAGTCTACCCTTTAGTAGCTGTTCAAGTAATCAATCAAGGATGGGCGGGTGCTAATGCCCTGGTAGCCTCTGCAAGCAAACCAAGATGTAAGCCCCAGTCAGTGCATGGGAATCCAAGAAAATGAAACCCAAGCACAATGAATCATGAGCAGCCACCTAGGCTTTCTCAAATAAAACCACACTTAAATTAGAGTCAATCCAATGATTTCCTTGCTTTGCTTCCTCATCTTCTCTATAAAAACCCCTCCCCGGTTCCTGTCCCCGGAGCATCGCTAACCACCTTTGGTTTGGCAGTGCCCACTTCAAACAATTTTTGCTCAAGTAAACTAGAAAATTTTAACATGCCTCCATTTACCTTTTAACGAAGCTAAGAGATCTTGGGCCTTATTATTTCAATGCTTTAGGTTTTTTAAAGCTCAGTTTCTCCATCTATAAAATAGAAACAAGAATTATACTTACCCCATGACCTGTTGTGGGGACTAAGTAAGATAATGCAGGGAAACCACTCAGAATAGGACTCTCTCTCTCTCTCTTTTTTTTTTTTTTTTTTTTGGTCAATATGTTTCTTTTTTAAAAAGTCCTAAAGGAGGTTCTGATGTAAGTTTACTACATTCAGCGACATTTCTTTGCACGTTCATTAACTTTAGACTTAATTCAGCAACTTTGACTTCATTAAAATTATAATTATTTCTTGAATTCCATCCCATTTATCCTCTTCAGCTTAAGCCCCCTCGTTAGCAGCCAAGGTCCTGGGACCCTGGGAGAACCTCTTATGAGACCGTATTAGAAGAGAAAGAAAATAAAACAAGAGCCAGCTAGAGTCAGGACAATACATGGTGAAGAACTTGTCAAACATGTGGCAAACCAAATTTTTAAAATATGAATTTGGATACACCTGGGAGAAGGAGGATGAGCTGACATAATGTGGCAAGTAGCTACACAGAACACAAAGAACACAAATGCATTCCAGCAGAGCCATTAGCACTGTGTCACTTATGTGTCCCACATCTGCTAATTCTTAGCTGAATTTAGCCCTCCTTCCCCCCTGATTTTTCTCTACCCCTGAGACAGACACAGCCTAACCAACAGTGTCCTTGGAAATCCCAACTAACTCAGATCCAACAAGGGATTTTGTGCTTGGCAGACCTGGATTTTGGGGTTTCATTGGTCAACCTCCATTTTGGAGGAGGGGGAATTTTGGGAAATTATGCACTTTTTGGGAGGAACACAAATGAAAATGAACCTTTTTATGGCCCTTGCTTGGTGCTGAGTAAAATTCACTTTTTTTTTCCCCTAGAAAATACAGGGTAGATTTTATTGGGGGAAATCATAATTTTAGAAGGGCCTAGCTTAGTGCCCGGCACTGAGAAGATCTACAATCAATATTAACTTGCCACCCCTTATAGAAATACTTCTGTCCTCAGAATAGGAGTTTATTCATCTATCCTTTCAATTATCACATATTTTTCAAGCATGAGCTATGTGTAAGGCATGGGTCTAGAGCCTGGGAAATAAGATCGCCAGATTTAGCAAAGAAAAGTACCAACTGGGCAGCCCAGGTGGCTCAGCAGATTAGCGCCGCCTTCAGCCCAGGGTGTGATCCTGGAGACCTGGGATCGAGTCCCATGTCGGGCTCCCTGCATGGAGCCTGCTTCTCCCTCTGCCTGTGTCTCTGCCTCTCTCTCTCTCTCTGTGTCTTTCATGAATAAATAAATAAAATCTTAAAAAAAAAAAATACCAACCTTCTCATCAAATTCCAATTCTGAGATACACAATGAACAATTTTTGGTGTTTTTATTATCTTATGCAATATTTGGGATATCTTTACACTAAAAAACTAGTCACTGTGTATCAAATTTAGTTGGATGTCCTGTATTGTATCAAGGAACCCTACTGACAATAGAGCAGGGACCGACACCCCCCACCATCCCTGCTTCCCACGCAGCCATAACCATTCTGGCCTCGGCACCTCCCAAGATTTCATTCCCATCTGGCAGTTCCTAGTGGGAAAGCCTGGGGAACACAGTGACCGTCTCTTCGGAAGCACATGGCCACTGGGGACCCACTTAACAGCTGTCACTCTGTATTATAATTGTAACTTTATTTCCCTGTCATACTCTTCGGCACTTAAGGTCCTTGGTGATGGGGACGACGCCTCTTTGTCCCTCCATCCCTGGATTCCACCTAGCACAGTGTCTGGGACTAGAAGATGCTCCCTACAGACCAGCTTAATGAACAGTGGGCAGATGTGTCAACGGTTGCCTTGACATCAAGTGCAATCCCAGACATGGCTCCTAGGGAAGATACTCACCTTCATAAATCCTGAAGCTGTAAGAGAAAACCAGATTGCCAGAGTCCAAAGAACATATGGGTGAAGAACGCTCTTTTATTTTTAAAATGATTTACGAAGGTAGTCCAAACAAAACCAAGGCCTTAAAAAAAGGGGAGGTCGGGGGGTAGGTAGGAGGAAGATCGTGTGAGAGCAAAACTGTCAGCCTGAAAAGAATACTAAAGGGTCCTTTGAAGTCACTTCTAAACCTGATAGGTAAGAGTCGGTCAAAGCATTGATTTAACTAACTGGTAATGTAATAAAAGATGATTTCCGATAGTGAACCAGAACCATAATATCAACAACGGAGGGATACAGTATCAACAAATAACAAATAATGAAGAGCCATTTTATTGTCAGTACTGACTGTCATACAACTGAAACACTCGGAAAAAATCACAAGAATCCACAAAAGGAGAGATTCAGAGAAGTGCAAGGGACACGGTATCTACAATAGAAAATCATTCTGTGGCACTGACTCCTTTCTGTCCAGCTGTAAAAGAGGGAACAAAAAGTCGGTATCTATAGAGCATGTTTCAATCACGCTAAGATTTAAAAATAAAAAAAAAGAAAGAAAAAAAGAAAAGAAAGACAAATATTGCATTGCAGTTTCCCAAATGACCACACAATCAGGCAGGACTTTCAGCCTCTTTCCTTCGTGGCTTCTTTCCTCATTGTCATCCTGGTGGCTCCGCAGCAGCCAACACTTCACAAGTGTCACAGGAAGGTTCTCGGCAGCTCCTGTCAGTGTTCGGATCGGTAGGCAGGGAAAGTCTCTGTCCGATGAAGCTTCAGAGGGCTGGAGACATCTTTTCCAAAAAAGAATTTAAAACCAGCGGTTATATTTCAAGAAAGCCCACGATGACATGAGCTAACAACAAGTGTCTCGGTAACAGAAACAACTAACAGGCAACATGAGACCCCCCCCCCCAAAAAACCAGGGCATTTGCAGAGATATGCAAATAAGGGTCAGGAGAGCCATCACGATTAACATGTCATTTGCATGTGGTCTTTGCACCGAGCTGAGATAGGACCACCAGCAGCTACCCTCCTCCTAGATTTTTTAGCTTCATCAACCCCTGTGTTCAGGATATTTACGGGGAAATGAGAAGGAATCACAGGACTCTGAAAAAAACTTCTGTTGAGGACACTCTCTGGGAACCTACCCAGAAATACGGCATCATTACACTTCTACTTAGGAAGTTTTGTTGTAAGGACTCTCTAAGATCCACACGGGCTTTATTATTTCAGGTCTAGATTCCAAACCAAGGAAAGTGAAGAAGTCCGGAAGGCAACACGCTGCAGGGGCATGGTCAGCAGCCTCTGCGAGCCAGACAGGGGTTAGCAAAGCTTCTCTAAAAAGGGCCAGATACTAGAAATCTTAGATTTTGCGGACCGCCTGGGCTCAGTGCACCTACTCCACTCTGCTGCCCGCAGCTGAAAAGCAACCGCAGTGACTACAGGACTCTTGGGCACGGATGCCCGAGCAGTCCCTGTTAACGGGGACATCCAGCGGCTGGATGGGCCGCAGGTTCAGGCCATAGGTTCAAGCCACAGGCTCGGGCTGCAGGTTCAGGCCGCAGGCTTGGGCCGCAGGCTCAGGCCGCAGCCACCCGCCCACACGGGCTCGATTTGACACAAACCAGAGACTTTTCTGCCACCTGCTGGCTAGAGGCTGCCTCTGCCAGGAAATTCACGTGGGCGCCTGTGCCAGCCGCTCTCAGGGGAGCACAGCAAACCCAGTATACCTGAGGACAGCATTTTTTTCTTTTATTAAGATCTTATCTATTTAACAGAGAGAGAGAGAGAAAAAAAAAAAAGCATGAGCAGGGGGCAGCAGGCAGAGGGAGAGGGAGAAGCCGACACCCCGCTGAGCAGGGAGCTGGATGCGGCTCCATCCCAAGACCCCAGGGTCCTGACCTGAGCTGGAGGCAGATGCTTCAGGGACTGGGCCACCCGGGTGCCCAGAATGCAGCATTCCTGGGGACCAAACGTGTGGTCAACACCTAACACAGCAGCGCGGCTGTGGCTACGTGGAGCACACACATGCCTTGCAGGACACATTCAGAACAATGATGTTTGTATTTATTTTTTATTTTTTATTTATTTTTTTATTATTTTTTTCAATGATGTTTTTAAACAACGAGCCAAGCCAAAAAGGTTTATGGTGGCATTTTGGCATAGTTAATACGCCATCACCTTGTCACAAACAGCCCTGAGCTCCACAGAGACCTGTCAAGAAGTCAGAGATTTGCATATTTGCCAGCCTCAAATCTGAAGCGTTAAGGAAATGACAGACCTAGTGAGACAGTCGCCCGCACACAACGGCGGCGATTATTAGAGAAGCTTGAATATTCAGATGTCTCAAATTACAAGAAATCATTTCTTCCGACCTCCTAACCGTTTTGAACAGAAATTCCATCTTCTTTCCACTACACACGCCCTAACACAGAGCAACTGTGTTAATGAGTTTAAATAACACAAGGGGAGCCTGGCCGGCTCAGTGAGTAGAGCAACTGACTCTTGACCTCGGGGTCGTGAGTTCGAGCCTCACGTTGGGTATAGAGGTTACTTAATGAGTCTGAGCACCACAGATAAACTTCCAGCACATCTTTATTACAGTTCGATAAAAGTTCCCACAGGAAGCCGACAGTGCACAGTGTTGATGAAAAACCCAAATCCCTGGTCAAGTACAAAGCCCCTCCTGAGCCTTCATCCGCTTAGCTCCTTGGATTGTAAAAGTTTGTGAGAAAAGTGACAGATAAAAATGAAAATAAAAATGAAAGCACCTGCAGCCTCTATCATCACGCTGGTTCACTGAGCCTTTCTGGCTTGGCGTGAGTGCTATTTTTAGCTTAAAGCCAGGAAAAGGATAGAATCACCCGTCCCACATTTTTGCAATTCACGCAAAGGTCACGTAGACCGTGTCTGGGTCCAGACCTGTTCTCTGGCCTGCACAGGTCATAAAGTATTTAGAATTGCCTGTCAATATTTAAATAACTTCAAACTTTCGTAGAGGTGCCAATTTGCCTGTTCTCTTACAAAACTGGACGGCACACGGTCCTATCTGCTGCCCCAGGGCCCCTGTGGTTCGCCAGGGACCCCAGCAACCCCCCCCCCCACCGTGCCCTGTTTCACTGCTTGCATGACCTCCCTGATCCCATAGACACGAGAGTCTGAGACCCTCATTTATTTGTTACATTTTCATTTCTGCTCAGATCTTAATCTCTTGTCTCTTAACTGATGTACAGACCATGTCTGTGACTACATTAGATTTAATACTGAAAACCCAATGTCAACATCTCTGAAGCAGCCACTTGCCCTAGGAAACTACCACCCTTATAATAAGGATGTAGGGCAGCCCGGGTGGCTCAGTGGTTTAGCGTCGCCTTCAGCCCAGGGCCTGGTTCTAGAGACCTGGGATCGAGTCCCACGTCGGGCTCCCTGCATGGAGCCTGCCTCCCTCTGCCTGTGTCTCTGCCTCTCTCTCTCTCTCTTCCTCTCTCTCTGTGTCTCTCATGAATAAATAAATAAAATTAAAAAAAAAAAGTAAATTGCATGAGCTGGAACCAGTCCCCTGGGGGAGCCATTTCCATTCGATGGTATGTGCCTTTGAAACAGCCACGGTGGTGGAGTTTCTGCTCACAGGTAAGAACATATGACAAAAGAAAGAAAGGAGTTTTAATGCCAGTCCCTCCACCCAGTAGCCATGTGGTCTTCAGCAAGTCTTTGACCTCCAAGGGTCTCAGGTTCTGCCTTCACTGAAATGGAGAACACAGTCCTGCTCTTGCCAATTCAAAGTGCTGCAGGAGAAGCAGAGATGGTGACATGAAGGATGCCCGGCAGAGACTACGACACAGACATCTGGTGCCAATCTTTGACTACCTAAAACTACGCAAAGTCGAATCTGATAAATGATGCCTATTTTCTTCTTGTTTTTAAACCAGCGACACTATCTTCCAAGGCAATTCCAACAGAAGGTTTCTGGAAATATTAAGCAATGGAGCACTTTGGAGTAAGGGTAAAGATTCCTAAGAGGATAACTCTGAGATGGAGGTGTGAGTGTTCAAGCTGGATGCACCTGCTGTCTCCGACTGCCCCCTTATGTCCCCGCCACACGGCCCCCGTTCTGATCTTTACCCCAGCCCATTTCTGTCTCAGGGCCTTTGCAGTCGCTGAGCTCTCTGTGGAGAATGCTTTTCCCTGGCTCTCAGTGTGGCTGCTTCTCCTCTGACTGCAGGTCTTAGGGTAAATGCTGCAGGCTCCTGTGAGCACCCCATCTAAAAAAAGTCCCTTTGTCATCAACCTCCCCAAACCAAGAACGTTGGCTTTGCTATATTTTCCATAACAAACGCTTTCTTTTCAATGTGACAGGGGCCAAATTTAAAATTATATACATTTGTGTAATTATTGTCTGTGACTCTTCCTTAGACTTGGGGCTCTAGGAGGGCAGAAGCGTGCCTGTCTGGCAGCCTGTGTATCTCCATCACCTAGCACACTACTTGGCATAAAGTCGATGCTCAAGGAATCCTTACCAACTCAATGAATGAGTGAGTGCTTGAATGAAGAGAGAAAGGTCACTTTCTAGGGAGGTGACCTCAGACACACTACTAACCCTTCAAATTCTCAGTTTCTTAGTTGCAAATGAGAATAGTATACGTTCATGTAGCTGCTCTAAGGACTAAGAGAGACTATGTATGGTGAATACAAAGCCTGCAATGCAGCAGGTCTTCAAGAGAAGCTATCTTCATCAAAGACACTCGTCCAATATATATTCTGACTTGTGAGGAACAAACCTAGTGCTTCACCAATGGTCTGTTCATGCTTATGTACGTAAAAAAAAAAAAAAGACATTATGTACATGCAAAAAATAAATTTGCAGAGCTCTGGTTTAAGCAAGATTAAACAGGTTCTTTTTTTGGACATTTCAAAACCTTGAAAATAGTGGTTGGCATTCTCAATCTCCCAAAAGGACACTTTAACCTAACATGCAGCATTTCCCCCAAACTTACCGGACACAGTACTATTTTGGGAAAGGGCCATATCTACCGGGGTTAGTGCTCCATGGAACACACTTGGGAACACATCACTCGGTCTTATTTTACGCGATGCGCTCCTGAAAGAATCCTGTGGTTACAGTGTTCAACTTGATAAATGCTTCTCTCTCTCTCTTTTTTTTCTCTCTCTTTTTTTAAAAAAAGATTTTATTTATTTGAGAGAGAGCGAGACCACTAGCAGGGGGAGGGGCAGAGGGAGAGAGAGAAGTGGACTCTTTACTGAGCAGGGAGCCTGATGCCGGACTCGATCCCAGGACCCTGGGATCATGACCAGAGCCAAAGGCAGACGTTTCACTGACTGAACTGCCCAGGTGCCCCAGATAAATGCTTCTTTTTCATGAATTTCTTCCAGTATTCATGATAAACATCTTTCACATGTTGATTTTGCATATGCTCAACCCTAGAAGGGAATTTCTCTAGGAAAACTGGAAATGGGGCAGGGGAAGCAGTGATGATTAAATATGTCTTCATACACGGGGCCAGGTCAAAGCCAGGACCTCTTCCCCACCGCAGTAATAATAATTCCAAACCTACCCAGCAGGTGGCTCTATAGGACTAAATTTGAAGGCGGAAATGATCTGTTCTCCAACCAGGTGGACAAATGCCCCTGTAAGTCTGCATGCCTTCCAAGATTAGCTTCCAGATCTGTCATCTGGAAAAGGCATCCTGCAGTACCCCCAGGTAAATGGGCTGGCCAGAGGAATCACAACTCACAAACACCATCACAACAAGAAGACCTCATCTGCCATGTGAGCCGACACACACAGGGCAATGATGCCATTCATTTTTTTTTTTTTTCCAGTTTCAGCTTTATTCAGGGTGTGGGGGGAAAGAGGAAGGTAGGTGGCATAGGAGGAACAACAGGTGGACTTATCCTATTTGTCATGTAAGCGACCACCTCTGATAAACAAGATAATTTTAGGTAAGCCGAGAACTTTTTTTTTAAAGTAATACATTACTGGTAAGTTGAGTCCCATTCTACACATAGACCACATATTGGCCCTGTAGCTCAATGAATATTGGTGCCTCAAAAGCGATCCACAAGATAAAATGAATGCAGACCAATCTACGCAGACCATGCAGGTGAAGAAATCTCTCAGTAAACACTGGTACAAATTAAATATGGAAATAAAGCACAGGTAGCAAAAGTATGTGGAAGCAAATCATCTGATGGAATAATTAGTACAAAAACGTAAAGCAAAAAGTAATAATAACTCAAAGCAATTATTATGCCATTTTCATGCATACAGTTAGTCTAAGATACTAGGATATTCACCACGTGGTATCAGTGTGCCAAACAGGGAGACTGTAAGGACTCAAATGGAAATTTGTGTTCAGCGAAGATCATAATGGGACAAAGAAAAAACAATAGAAGTTTTAACTCTCATCTTCAAAACCTAGGACACAATCATCTTCAAAACCCTACAGATCATCAATATAAGGCTTGATAATCCATCAGCTCTGCAGAAAATCTGTGGTAGGACTTCTCATTACGATTGCCATTAATCTCACTAGAAACTAAGAAATCACTATCTTCAAATTACTGGTCTGGAACTACTATGACTGCGATCACTTGAAAAAAATCTATACCAAGACTCTTGGACCTAATTTTACAATAATATCTCATTACTTTCGAGTGATGGATCATAGGGCGAATTAATAATAAAAACAGTAAAGGGAATACACCAAAATTTAATTTTGATGAGTTGTTTGATTTGTGCCATGCTGGTTTTGATAGAAAGAAATAATGGGAACTTCTCAAAGAATGCAAATTTTTTTCTTTGCTGTGATGCTTTGTACTGCTCTGCTCTACCTCTAGAGGCAACATCATCACTACTATTATTTTAGAATTAGTGGATTACTAGTCTTTGACAATCATCCCAGACCCGTGAGCTGTGTATGGCTTTCCAACTGTAATATGGGCTTTTTGCATGCAGGTAAATTCACAAATTTTATTCTTTGTTCTTGAAAAAAATTTATATGCTGGAAATAGAGCTATTTCCTTCATAGTACCCAGAGGTAGACATTGTCAGAATAGTCATATATACCCTAGGAAGAAACAGTGTGTAACAGTATCCACAACATCCTCTTTATACCTAAAAAAGATTCTTTGGAGCCCAAAAATATTTTGTAAAGTATTATTACACCGTTAGGGTCCTGAAAAGACCCTCAGGCCTCACCGTTTCTGATGAATGTCTACTCATTTTGGTTATGGATAGTTAGATTAGTTAAGGATAGGAAGGTGGGTATGCTCTTCATATGACCTTTTCTATGTCCTGAGGATTCTCAATCTCTGGAATATTAAAAAAAATAAAAAACTGCATCATATCCAAGTGTTCAGGACATCCCACCCTCAGTGCACCTTTGCAAACATGCTATTCTAGGGAAACCCCCCCATATATCACCTTTGCTGCAAACTGACTTCTCAAATTACTACTCTGTATCTCAGGAATTAAGGTCACTTATCAATTTCCTCCCTACGCCTACATCAACTTTGGTTCTCAACTTTGTTTTGCAAGCCAGGCACACAGCATCTAAAAATATATACTTTTTTTGTAAAGGTCATCTTGGCAAGTGTAGAAAGTCAAGTTACAAAGCAATTCAATAGCTTTGTGTGAATTTCTGTTATGCATGCTTCTTCTAAGCTTTCAATAATTACTATTTATCTTATTTTATGTTAAAAAATATAGCCAGGTGCTAGAGTAGTATAAAGGCAGTGGCATACAATTTCCAAGTGGTCTTTGTGACAACCTGATTTACCCCAACTCTCTCTCCCTCTCTCTGGTTATGTTCTGGCAAGTAAGCTTGTCATCAGTTATTTGTGAGTGTAGTCACTCACATAGGCACTCGGGGTATATTTTCAGAGTATCCACAGTGTGCCATGCCCTCTGCTAATGAGCAGGACTGAGAGTCACGTAGACGAGAATATAAGTACCCTCAGTGCCTCTTTTTTTTAGGATTTTATTTATTTAGGGGATCCTAAATGAGCCAACCGCTGGGTGGCTCAGTGGTTTAGCACCTGCCTTCGGCCCAGGGCATGATCCTGGAGACCTGGGATCGAGTCCTACGTTGGGCTTCCTGCATGGAGCCTGCTTCTGCCTCTGCCTATGTCTCTGCCTCTCTCTTTGTCTCTCATGAATAAATAAATAAAATCTTTACTGCTTCCTGGAAGAGGAGTCAAATGGCCATACAATTCAACACGGCGTGAACACTGTGCTAAGGACTATAAAGAAGAGTGTCAGCGCCCTCGTCCTGGGAGCACACATCATCAAGATTCCACGCTAGTGATCAGGGAGCCGGGAGGGTTTCCTTGGAGTCAGGAGGTAAGATCTGGAGGTGACCAAGAGGCCTAGGATGGGGGCAAAGGCACAGAATCCCAGAAAAAAGAATAGGAAAAACCTCTTTGGGGGAGAGCTGGCCAGCAGGGGGCGCTGAAACGATGGCTGATGGGCGAGGGGACAGAGGTTGCCACTTTCAGCTGAGGCCACTGTTTTTTATGGCCCTTCATTTGTTCTTAGATTCATTTATTCAGCAAATTTCTGCATATGGACTAGATGCCGTCTAGCGTGTGCCCTTCAAAGTTCCGGCATCTTGCAGCTCATCATGTAAAGTTCTTCACCCGGGGTCCCCCGAGTGGGTCTATTTATTTTTTCTAAGTGACATACGCACAGGCTATTCTTAATAACTATACAACAGGGACGCCTGGGTGGCTCAGCGGTTGAGCATCTGCCTTTGGCCCAGGGCATGATTCCAGGATCCAGGATCGAGTCCCACATCCAGCTCCTTGCAGGCAGCCTGCTTCTCCCTCTGCCTACATCTCTGCCTCTCTCTCTCTGTGTCTCTCATGAGTAAATAAATAAAATCTTTAAAAAAAAAAAAAAACTACAACATAAAAGCTGCATTTGAAAAGAGGAAAATACTTAAAATTTGTGTCTCATTGTTCCTGCCGTCCCCTCCGTGTGCTCTTCTGCATCCTGTCTCTGAGGCCACTGTTCTAGCAGACAGGCTTCTCAGGGTTTGCTTGGAGCCCAGGCAGGACCAGAACCCAGGACCCCGTCCCAGTGCATCTCTTTCCAACAGCAAGCACATGCTTCCTAAGCTTGAGTGGCCTGGAGGGCTTGAGAACACACACGTGGCTGGGCCCCCGGCCCCTGAGCTCCTGATCCTGTAGGCCTCAGAAGGGGCCTGAAACTTTGCATTCTGGCAAGTTCCCAAATGCTGCCGCTGAGGGCACCAGACCATTTCCCGAAGCGCGGAGCGCAGCCCTCTGGCCCCCACGCCGTGCAGGGGCCGGGCTCAGGGGGGTTTGCTCAGCCACCTCCTGGGCCTGAGCACCGGGGCTGCCTGGAGCGGAGGGCCCAGGCATCTGCATTTGGAGCGAGTCGCCCAGGATGCGGCGACGGAGGCCAGGGCTCCCGGGGCTCCCAGGGCTCCCGGGGCTGCTTACCTTGCAGGCGGCAGAGCTGCCCGGCGCTGCGCTGCCGCGTGATGTGCTGCCAGTAGGCGCTGCGGGGCAGGGGCACCATGGTGCTCAGGGAGGCGGCCCGCTCGCTCATCTTCATCTGCAGCTGCAGAGAGGGAGGAAAGCACGTGTCAGCGCCCCCGGGGCTGGAGGGGTCAGTCCCCCAACAGGGGAGACGGGGGACCGCAGGCTGGGAGCTGGGACCGCAGCGACCAGGTGGGACAGCCACTTGCTTCTGTCGCTGAGCAGCATCCGCTGGCCCCGCGCTGGCCACAGTGGCGGCTCCCTCTGGCTCCCTCTGCGGAGCCTCCCTGGACCCAGCGCAGCCCACCTCTCACCACTGATCCCCGGGGGGCCTTGCTGACCCCAGCCGGGCCAGTATCACACGACCCCCCGGGAACGTGTCTTGGGACTTTTGCAGAAGAGAGAATCAATAGAGGCAAGCCAAGGGCTTCTTTTTTGTTTTGTTTGTTTTGTGTTGTGGCCTGGTTTGTTCACTGCTGTCTCGCCCAGGTCTAGCATATTTCCTGGCACATGGTAGGTGCTCAATAAATGCGTGTTGCACTGAATGAATGGGCCTCCTTGCGGGGTGGCTGAGGACAGGAGATGGACAGGAGCCTGTCTTGGAACAACGAGGAGAAAGCAAGCCAGTCAGTGAGCTGATTCAGAGGGAGACAGCCAAGCAAAGGGGGTGACCGTGGATCCCACCTAAACCTGGAAACTAGCCCTGGACTTCTCAATCAGGTGAGCCGATCACCTCTTTTCAGTTCAAGTTGATTTGAATTGGGGACCTGTCACTAGCATCAGAACTAAGCCCTGTCTGTTCCTCCAAGCAGCCGATCCTTGTTCCTGATACTCAGGGAGGCAAGGGGAAGCCGGGGCTCTTGGCCCAGGTGCTGGGGAGTAGCCAGGGGCCTGTGTGACACACTGTGGGGACTGATCTTACGAGGGAAGTTTCAGGGAGAAGGAGGCCTCACAGAGTGGGTAGGAGTTGAGTAGAAGGGACATGGGGACAATACAGCTGGGAGAGCGCGAGTGTGACATGAGCCTCCCCACCACCCTCTCATCTCAGCCCGCTCTCAATGCATTCATGGTAGGGCTTTATTTCGCACTAACAGGAGAGGTGAGTATTTGCAATGTTTGAGTTCCTGGAGTTGTCTGAATATCAAATAACCCATCTCGGTGTTAGAAATTGTGCCCAGAAACACACAGATCTGCACACGCATTGCAGCAGGACACAGGTTGCAAGCAGGAAAAACTGGTGGAAACTTGATTCTCTACCACTGAGGACCTGATTAATCACACTGAGACACTATGACCTATTCGGCAACTGCAAACCAGAGGAAGGAGGATTTCCATCAACTAAAAAGGAAACATTTATATATTGTATTATTAAGGAAACAGTGAGTCCCAGACCATGGTGTCTAGTGGAATGTCATTTTAATTGCTCATATGAGAAGCAGTGACATTACACCCCTGCCCACTTGGCTTGTATGAGAGTTCAGTGACTGCTTAGCACCTGCCTAGCACAAACTAGGTAGGAAAAAATGAAGGAATTATTATTATTATTATTATTATTATTATGAATTGCAAGGCCCATTTAAAGATTTTTTTTTTTAAAGAAAACTCTTGATCCTACACACCTCACCAGTATGACAGATCCAGGCCTAATATCTGTCCATCCATCCAGTGAAACCAAATTAATATGAGGCTTCATATCCTGGAGACCAAAACTCATTCTAGTTGATGAGATTGAACTTGAAAAAAAGATTATAACCATTTGTTCCAGAGATAATTTAATTTACCTGTGTTGCATTTACACACAATGGATTGAATTCTCGGTCCTCTCATAATAGGACAAGTACCAAAATGTGTCCCCAGGTAGAATTAGATAGCAGGAGGTTGCATGGGGACATTTTTTCCCCCTAAACGTGTCCTGTTAGATCAAAGGGCGAAGAGCCGAGAACAAAGCTTGTAGAAGAGTTCTGTGGCTGTTTCTATACTTCTGCACAAGGGAGAGTCTCAAAGTTTAAGAGCAAAAAACAAAAACAAAGAAACAGAAACCTCTATGCCAGTGACTTTGGGTGACTTCCGGTGACATTCAACCGCACACAGAACACATAAATAAATAAATAAATAAATGGAGGGAAAGAACTGGATTTCCAAGGTACTGATTATTGGATTTTCTTAATAAAAAGAGATCCTAGGTAATATAATAAAAAATTTAATATGAAGAAAACATTCGGGAAATAGCCATCGCTTCAAATTATTCACTACAGCGCTGTGAATATATTTCTGCAAGCCAGCATGATTTGACTGTATTTTTAGAAAGCTTATTTAGGAACAAGAATGCAACGACACCAACATCATGTTTCATGGAGAAGAACACTGCACAGCCTGGCTCTCTCTACGTCTTCCTCAGCTCTTTGAGGTTTAAAAACCCTAGTTTATGAAAAAAAAAGGGGGCATTTGAATTGTCTCTGGAGAAGAATAATGAAAAAAAATCTTATTTAACAATGCAATTCTTTAAGGGCGAGAAGTCATTCGGTGAGATGTCTATCAGGAAAGTTTCCATCTTCATTCTTTATTGCTGCAAGGCACTCGAGCCTTGGTCTCAACACCCAGTGCAGGGGGCGGGAATGGATGCTCATTGACACCAGGGGTGGAAATAAAAAGTAATACTACACTTTCGGAGGATTTAAAATTAGGTCATCTTGAGTACATGGAGAGAAAGGTTGTATCCTTCCTCCTATTTCTTTTTTTAACCTTGCACACTTCTATACAGCTTGGTTTTTTTACATTTATAAAATCATAGTAATATCACATTAAGAAGTAAAAAGTTAAGATTACCCCAAACCATAAAAATTTAAAGTACAGCCATTTCTGCTATATGGACATTTCTGAACCCCACCCCCCATCTGCAGTACTGTTGGGAAAATCTGTTTCTGAGATGACCCCTCAAAACATATGCTGCTTTTTTTTAAATCTTTTTATTTATTCATGATAGTTACACAGAGAGAGAGAGAGAGAGGCAGAGACACAGGCAGAGGGAGAAGCAGGCTCCATGCACCAGGAGCCCGACGTGGGATTCGATCCTGGGTCTCCAGGATCACGCCCCGGGCCAAAGGCAGGCGCCAAACCGCTGCGCCACCCAGGGATCCCCATATGCTGCTTTCTAACTGAATCCTTGCTCCTCTGAGAGACAACTTGGAGGCTGGAGGTTTTGCAAAGGTTAAAAAAAAAAATAACACAGGAAAACATTTGGTTAGAAATGCTGTCTTCAGAAGGCCGGGCTCTACAGATGGAGCACAGGCTCTTCCCAAGAGGTGTGTACTGCTGGGTGTGTAGCCACAGGAACGAGAGCTGGGCCAGAGCGGGACAAGGTGGGGATGCACCTCTCTGGGTAGAGCCTTCGATGCCTCTGCTCATTTCCTCTTAAACTGCAGCTGGAAGCGGCTCTGTCTGGGCAATAGTTTATTGAGGGCTTTTCCCTCTCCTGCTAAAGGTTATAATTCCACTCCTGCTATTTCAGGCTTCCCTTGCCTAGAAAAAAAGGCAAAGGTTTTTTGTTTTTTTTTTTGGTTTTTTGTTTTTTGCACCAATACACTTTGATATGAGAATGAATCGTTCTTAAATTTATCAAGTGCATTTGAACTCCATGTGAACACAGAAATGGTGTTGGAAGTAGAACTTTACACCATATCTGACAGTCTTATTCCCACCTGTCCACCAAAACAGGCATCCTTGAATTCTATATATATTTTAAAAAGGACAGGAAAATTATCCAAATCATCCATTTTGCATCCTGCAACCATTAGGAAAATTTAGTACAATCCCGGAACACCAAACTATGGGACTATCCAGCCCAGTCTCCTGGGTTAACAAGCCCAAAAACTAGCACCCAAGTTCCCACAGCAAGGTGGCAGCTGGCACCTGTTTCCCAGGACCTGAGCTCCATCTCTCAGAACCTACAGACGGGCATCTATTGGTTCTCCACATTGACTCAAGTTCAAGGTTAAATCCAGATCACCTCCTAACACCTTGGCTGCCACATGGGGAGCAGTCTTTACATGAGCTCATAAACATTCGAAGTTTGATTTTCCCAGAGATGATAAGCTTACAAGGTTTGGCCACCTGATCAAATAAATGGAGAGTGCATTTACAGCTTATCATCAAGTGCTTGTTGATTTGGAGGCACAGTCTACAACCTCAAAGAGCTTTTGTCTAAGGCAGTACAATCAGGGCAAAGCAGAGGAAATCTGGGTGCCCTGGGACCACAGGAAAGCAGCATCAGAATCTGAGCAGCAGGAGTGACAGGGGATGGAACAGTCAGAGAGGAATCCCAAGAGGAGCCGTCCCACACAGTCTAACCCCCAGGTGTCTCTTTCCGGGTCACTGAGATGCCACTAGTTCTGCACGCTTAGTACATCTCCCAGACTAGCTCCGGTCTGCAGGAGGGCTGAGGATGTCTGAGGTCGGACTAGGTGTCCTTAGTTGCTGCTTCTACATGTTAGACTCTTGCGATGCCCAGATGTGTGTGCACTAGCAGATGTGGGGATGCTACGCCCAGGGAGCCATGAACGTGATCTGTGCAAGTCAACGCTCAGAGACAGCAAAGGAAACGTGGAGATCCGAGACTGGTTGGAGGATCAGTGACTAAAAATCAGAATTTTAGAACCAGAAGGGAATTTTGCTATTTGTTTCGTTCACTGATGTATTCTCAGCTCTCAGAACAGTGCCTGGTAAACAGTGGCTGCTCGGTACACTCTTGCCGAGTGAAAGAATGAATCCAATCAACGAGGCAGGAGAGTTGGCTCAAACCAACTTGCAAAAGCCAAGGGTTACATTTTTCGGGCATTTTGTGATCTGGTTGTTAAATACAGCCAACGGTAAAAAAACCAAATTATACAAATTTACAGTTAAATAAATTGTACATATAACATACACACAATCATATACCTGTTATTCAAGTAATAACCTATTACTCAAACTCATCACATCCTGGTTTGTCTTACTATCATCTCTGCTCTGAGATAATTTGCGTCTGTGACATCTACTTGGTAGAAACGCTGTATATCACTTCCCAACTCTGTGTACACAGGCATG